AAAAAAAAAAAAAAAAAAAAAAAAAAAAAAACCAATCGAGGTCAGAAATTTTTCGGGTCCAGATTTTTGAAAACGAATATCTTAAGGGTTGTTCCGTTTCCTCCTTCTCCGAATACCAAGAGGAGGAAGCTGGTGCGCCTTTGGGTACAGGCCACCCTCCTCGAGGATTACCATAAACACTCCGCGCCGGGCTCGCCGGCGTCGTGCATGCGCGTTAGCGCTCTGCACCAGCGAATACACGTGTAAATCCCATGTTTCAGCTCTTATTCCGCCTCCGATCCCCACGGGCTGGCTTCGTGGGACTCGTGTCGGAATCGACAAAAAGCACGATGCCAGTCGCGTGACTTTCATGCTTACCGAGCATTGTATCTCTCCTGCGGTGAAATACATGCCCGGCCAACGTTCTTCGTGTACGGTTTTCGCTGGCCTTAACTTTTCTATTACAGGCTTCGTTACGGCTTATGGGAAGCAACAGAAAATCCAGGCGAACCACGTTAAACCGATATTTAACGAAGAGTCATTTTTATCAATTTTATTACCACAGTCGATCTTCCCCGGAAGAAATTATTCTTTGCTACGTCCAGGACCTGTCTAGTTCCCCACCGTGCCAGACCCAAGCACTACCTAAACGGATCCTCGATTTTCATAATGAAATTTCTATTAGGGTTCTGAACCCTTTTTTTTTTGCAGCTCCGCAAGGGTATTCGATCCTCTGAGAATTATCCAATTTTCTGTAGACTTTACAGGGATATCTGGAATCACCGTTAAGAGCCATCCAGTTTACTCGAACAGCATCGCCAAAGTGCCCGTAATAAACGTAACGCACCGAAGCGATGGAACGTCGACCGATGTGCTGGGAAGTTAGACATTATGAAACTATGCGCCAGGAGATAGGCCATGGCAGGACCCGAGAGAGACTCTCCTCTCGTATTCCTATACGTGTAATACAGATATGTATATACCAGTATGTAGAAGCGCAAACCCGTTGTTACCACTCCTCCCCACCATTATCTCTCACACGCATCGCCGCCGATTTTTATAGGCGAAGTGATTCACGAGCCGAGCTCATCAGCTCGTCTCTCATTCTACTCTCTTCTTATAGACTTTCCTACGCCATTCCGTCCCATCATCCTGGCTTTTCACGACGATTATACGATAAACACCTACCAGTATCGTTATCCATATAAATCTAAATACGAGCCACGAAATGAGAAAGGGCCCACCAGCATAGTGGGTCTCATGGGTCTCATACTAATCTCATCCAAAGGATAAATAGGCAATGTATCTATACACCAAAGTCACATTTAAAGATCTTAGATATATGCTGCATATCCCTGTCTTAATTTCAAAAAAAAAAAAATTTTTTTATCCAGCACTCTACTTTTTTACCTCGACTCCGGAGCGCCGCTCCTATATGCAACGGAGCAGGATCTCCTCGTGGTCCAGGAAGGAGGTGTAATTTATAAAGAAAAGCGCCCCCATCCGTATATAGCGGCTCTTGAGATGAGATCGGATCAAGCAAAAACGTCGGTGGCAAGTGGCCCTCCGGTCCGGAATAAACGCTGCAGGCAGGATCGATCGGGCTGAAGGCGTTCTTAAGATGGGGGATCTCCTCTTGGCGCGGAATCAATATTGTTGGATTGGTTCGATAACGCCTCGTAAATATAATAAAGCCCCCTGCGCGCTGCCAGAAGATAATGGTCGGGGCCCAGGGCATTTGACGTGGGGGAAATACTAGTCCCCTTTCGTTCGGTTCACCCAGTCTCTACCACTGTACCACCACTGCGACGCTACGCTGCCACGCTGCTCTGGCAGCGCTCTTGCTCCTTCCTATACCACCTTCCTGCTCCCTACCATCGGGACCTCGACAGGCCTGCCACCAGAAGAACCTACTCAGTGAGTTTCAGCTCGGACCGGCGAGCGTTTGCGTCCCTGGCAGCCGGAGACTTGAACGCCTGTGTGGTCTCTTCTTGCCCCGGGTCTTGCGCGCCTAGCAGTTCTCTATTATGAACTGCTTGGCAATTGGAGACTTTAACGCCCTTTAAATGTTTCTGGTAGCGGAAATCGTCGCCCGCGACATTTCACCACGCGCGACAAGTGCCAGGGCAGTTTACGGTACCCGATCCCAAAGCACCGTGTTGTTCAGCGCGGTTAGCACTTCGCGGGATTTAAAGTGCGATCAGTGTACAGTGAATATCGATTTTACCAACGAGTCAAAAATTTTCGTGACGATTAAAAGTATTTTTGAACTTTTTTTAAAAACTGTGATAAATTGAACGTGCGATACACCTGTGATCGTTCTTTGGATATAGTTATGTCGTAGCACGTGCTATCAGTACCTTATCAAAGTTCCTATACGTATAACCTCGCCAGACCAGTTCCTTTTTCAAATTTGACCCAAGTGCCAACGAACGACACGCTTATGAAGCTTCTCGCGATGGACCAAGAGTCGCGTGTCGGCTGAGCTAGTGACGTGTGATTTCCACGTAGACTGCGGGAAATACAAAATCAAGGATTATACGTCACATAAAATTTCATCATGGAAGACATAAGTGTGAGTAATAAAAATTTTAAGGCAGTGTTCACACCAAACAGTTATTATTGTTATTCGTCATGGATACCGTAGACATTTTTTTTTCTTTTTTTTTTTTTATTGACCATAAGTCACGTTGTATCAAGTGACATAATGCTTGTGTATATATATATACACAGTGTCTTGTATACAGTTCCCCGGCAAAAACTACTACGGGGCCATTAGGGCAGGGTCCAGCACAAGAGAGGAAGTCGAACCCAGCGTAAATAAAATCGAGCAACACGATCAACAGACTTATTAGTTCGCATTGGAAAGGCTCCGCCGGTCTGCCGGGACAATGAAGCCAAGATTGCATATTGTTGTTTATATTTACGCGTCGCGGCATAAATCTTCGTTTAACTCGCATTCACTTCCAAGTCGCCGGGTTGCCGTACGCGCGTTCTGGTTCGTCACGGATAACGCACGGTCTTCATTAGACTCGGCCTTAAGCTCTCGGTGCGTGCCGTTGGGCCATTAGACAGAACGAGGGGCCTTACCTTACGACTAATTTGTACTGTAAATGAGATCCAGGATCATTACACAGTAAAACGCGCGTGCACTGCCTATACGCATCTCAGCCGAAATACCGAATAGAAGCGAAGAGGAACGCAACTTTTCCCACCGATTCGGTCTACTTCGACGTTCTTGTGGGCATTGAGGATCGCCCTAAAATCATCTTCTATACGATTATCGCGTATTGCGTGATAGTCCGAGGTGGCCTAAAGCTTTTTTCCCAGTCGTAATGACTCCTACAACGTTATTTCGTTCAATTAGGCCTGTGTCGAAACGGCCTTCGGTTTCGTATACGTATTATCGAACGAATAAAAATCGTTACATAGAAACAGCGATGCCTTGCTGGTACGATTAAAGTATTAATGTAAATAAGAAAATTTACATTTAGGAGCTCATAAAAATTCTACGGGCATAACCAGTCGCGCCGATCAAAGTCGCACGATCCGAATCGCGCCAGGCGGAATTACGATCTTCGCTCGAGAATCCGACTCCTCGCGATTCGTCGCACGCGTCGTATAATCGGCCCATTGACAAAAAAAAAATCTGAAAAAAAAGTCCCAAAAAACGTGACGACGTGAACGAGTCACGTTAATTTTATTAAAGCTTGCGTATATCAGTGCATATATATATATATAGGCCTGCGTCATAAAGCATATATATAACGTATACCTAAATCTTTATAAATCTTCATGGTGGCCTCGGCACTCCGAAACAAATGCCCTCTGAATTCTGATCCAGAATATTTTTTTTCTTCTCCTCTACCTTACTTTGTCACTGCAGTCTCGAACCCAGTCGCCCATTCAAACGAGTCGCACGAGACTCTCGAGCTGCGTGGTAGGGATTCACAGTATGTGATGCAAGGGCGTTAGGTCTTCACCTCACGAGATAAATCTCTGTGATGGCGATACAGAGACCTTCTCCGAATACTCGGATATTTCTCATTGCTTCGTATTACATATCCCCATAGGGTACTTACATGGGCTCTGGGTACAGTCGTGAATATAAATATATCTCTATAGCGCACGCAATAGGTATACCGGGTGGTAACAATAGTGGTTTTACGAATTTCACCGCGAATTGTGTATTACCCTTAATGGTTACGGTAGCGTAACGAAAGGGTTTGGTAATTAGGTACTGTACGATCCAGAAGTAACATAAACCCTCGTCAGCTGCAAGAGGGTTGCCGGGTACGAAACGTTGGCTGCTGCTATAATTTCGTGCGTACCGACTGTCAAGTCCGTAAGTCCGTATGGGTAGCCATAGAATGAAATGGAAAAAAGAGGGACTCGCTCCGAGGGAGAATTTCATGAAAAATCCATAGTGCATGATGTGTGTAATTAGCTGTAATTTATCGAGGCCATTAATGATACGTATTCTCGTTAACGAGTACAGGGCACGAAATTTACACAGGTACAAAATTTTACCACACGTGAGTACTTAACCTAGGTTAACCCAGCTGTGCTTCTCTGGGGTATACAAAAAGTCCCAAGAGGGATGCTGGGAACGACGTCCGAATTCCCTGAGGATCGGCAGGAACGATAAAGGTGAAGTAAAAGTTTTTGCTCATCCATATGGATGGGTGATTAGACGATTCTCCATAGGCAGCCACGCAAATTAGTCTCCTGGTATATATATCTATAATCGCTCGAATATTCAAATGGCGAAATCATTTACTCTCTCGACTACTTACCCGGAGCGCATAATTGCCGGACAATTAATCACTGCTCACCGCCGGCAACTATTTTCCCTGCATGGCGAAACCATACGAGGTCCAGCCGCGATAGGCACCAAGGTCAATCGTTAACTGACCGTCTCGCTGGAATATGCACTCTCCGCGTAAAAGGGACCACGCGAAATTATAAGCTTTATGGACGATGAAATTAAGACAGGATGATGCCGGCTAAGGAGTGAGTAAAATTACAGTGATTTGACAGAGATGAATAGCTCGGGTTTGACAGCTGTCAAGCTATCATTTCAGTTGCCTATAGGATTTGGCGATGCTGATTGAAATTATTCATTGACAGGAGGCTGGTTCGATCGGGCAACCAAGGCCTTGGCCTTAGATTTTTCGAGCTTCCGATACTTGCCGCGAGTGCGAGAGAGACAGACTTACCGGGACTCAAGCGCGTAAGAGAAGGACGGACGTACCTGTTTGCTCGAATCGCCGAGGGTACCCATTGTCGAATTAAGAGAATAGCGCCTATAGAATTCTCGAAGATTTTGGAGTTACCTATGCTAGACGCGAGTGCGAGTGAGACGGACTTATGTGTATTTACACGAGGGAGAGAGAGAGGGAAATAGAATCTTGACTGAAATCGGCTACACCCCTTTTCAAACGGACCGTCACGGCTACCGTAATTGCTTTTAGGTAGAATTTTTAATAATTATTTTACGTCAGTCTCACGTTGTTAAGACCTGACTCCCATTGTCTGTACAATTCTCTAAATGGTCTCTCTAAAACAGATGCACGACAGCTGTCAAATCTTTTACCGGTACATTATTCGTACTGGATGACTCTGTAACGTAATTACCGAACACGTATGGACATATGTACAATTTTAGAGCATATGTAGTCGCTAATATCCTATAGCTCCTAAAGGGCATGCTATACCTTCGAAGCACTAAAGGACCGAAGTCGCTAGACCCTGACGTGTCACGCTTGCCAATCAGTATAAATAAGAGGTAACCACTCTCTTCGGATCACTTCGACACCCTCGGACAAAAGGTACCGGAGAATCGATCTAATCCGGCGTGTGATTAGTCCACGGGTTTAATCGGCGGTAATTAATATAATCGCCCAATTTAAAGTAACGCGTGAATAGTCTAATCGAACGGCTGTTTTAATCAGAAAATTTAACACCGTAATCCGATAACCCCAACGTTACATAAATACCGATTGGTCTTTTCTACAGTGTTAACGATAAGTTTCAGAATATTAGCAGGATTACCCCCGGGCGGCGGTAGGAATGGCTAATCACCGCATTCCGTTTCCAAGTAGCGATACAGCGACGCAAGGTAGTCCCACCCCGAACCGTTAACTGAAACCGATTAATTTTCAACTCATTAGGATCCCATGCGGTACGGATTTATCCGATCGGTATGCCGGATACGTTTCTTTCCTCGCAGATTGGACGGACTGGATGTATATTGGTGAGAGCGGGTATAACGAGTTACTCCATGGAATTGCATGGGCTCCTCGATTAATGGAGACGTTTCTCGGGGAATGACAAGGCGCCGCGACGCGACTGTTTTTCTAAGAGGAGTAGAGCGACTTGAAAGAAGCCGCCCCGGACCTCGCCCTCCTCCATCCTCGCTCTTTTTTTTTCCTCTATTTCTTCTTTTCCTTCTCCGGACAGAGATTTGATTCGAGGATAATACGTTTCCTCGTGGAAGCTGTGGTTAACGCTTTGGTCCATAGTATAGAGCACTATATATATATATATATATATATATATATATATATATATATATATATATATATATATATATATATATATATAGACAGCATTGAATATAGTGAAGATCGAAGCTCGCTGTTTATGGTAGATCCGACTGATCTATGGTGTTTCGGAGCAGCCCCGGGAAGCAGCCTCCCAGTACCGTGCCCTTGTGTCGACTAACGAGGGCCCTTTGGGCACAGTGGCCCATTGGCGTTTTATTTCTAGTTTCGGGAATCCACTGCTG